TGGTGTGTAGTTATATATTCCCAATAATAAGCCGTCTATGGCTTCCAAAGTAAAGCCACTACCGCGAGAAACATAAGCGTCTTCCTCAGCTAATAATTTCACGAACGCTTGTTCTACTATTGAGTCGATATCACTATCCGGATAAATTTCGGTTGCTGTTGTTTTAAACGCTCGGTTCTCCGACGAGTTTGGTACGTTGACCCGGTTATAGGTCGCCTCGAGCTTAAGGTTAAATTTAATCGCCCCTTGCTGAACGCGTGTTTTCAATATTTTATTTAGCTCGGGTTCGAGCGATCGAAGAAACTCGGTATAAATCATTGTATTATAAACATTTTTGGCATAGTACCATACAATTTTTCTATTTGCTGAGGACGAAATCTCAATGAAACCGGGGGACTGTACTAGGCTCATGCGCGCTTTTTTCGCCCTAGCAGCCGACGTGGTGTTGGCAGAGGAAACCCGTTTCCCGTTAACGTTGGTAGTGAAAGAATCTTTAAAAAAAAAAAAAAAAAACCTAATATTAATATCTAATGAAAATAATAAATTGACTAATCTATTAAAAATCTAATTAACCCCACGACTGATAAATAAAATCTAATGAAACAGCTATTTATCTTTTTAACTTGTGACATTTACAAATAATTTAATGTCACGTATTTCAAAAATCTTTTTTAAATCTTACGATAATAATTTTCAAAAAAATAATCTACGGAGGAAAAATCAGCAGGTCTTTTAAAAATCTAATTAATTCTTATAAATAAAACTAACCTGTATTCTCAAATTCGTCCATTGCCTTCATACAAATAATATCGTCGTCGGATGCCGCATTCGATCCACCGGCCGGAACATCTGGGACAAATATTCCAGGAGCAATCTGAATATGACCTTGTGGAGTAGGCCGGGTAACACTTTGCTGTGCTGGTTGACGTTGAGCCGGAACGTTCACGACACCTTGATCATTTTCAGTCATTTCAGCGAGCATATTATCATACCCATCGTTAAAATATTCATCCAGTTCATTATTATCGACATTTTGAACTTGATATGATGATGAACCTTCCGATACAACATTATTCGGTACGATTTCACCTAGTTGAGGTCTGACACGTGCTACAGCTTAAAAAATAAATATTGAAAATAAAGCTAACTTAACCTAACAGCTCATAAAATATACATACCATGCACATTTTTCATATGCCTATTGAGATGTGTCTTGTAGCCGAATGTCGACGCGCAAATAGTACAAGAAAAACGAACACCATTGTGATTTTTTTGGTGAGCAGTCAAATTACCCTTACGCGTAAACGTGGATGGACACTGCTCGCATTTAAACATTTTTTCAAATTTTATAAGGTAGCAAAACAAAAATAAATAAACACTGAGTTCCGTGTAAATAATGTTGAACAGTAAAATAAAAACTTGCTAACAATATTTTAATGGCTTAGTTCGCTGACGAAAAATATACGTGTACAACGGTTTAAGACTGTAGACGTACTAAACGGATGTAGTAGGATCTTTCAGGACATTTTTGAAAATTATAAAATTTTACAGTGCGCATGCGTACGAAAGGTGCGGGGGTGACCTCGGGTGAAGTCTCTAGAAGTTTAACAGGCCGGGGTAATTTTAGTGCGCATGCGTCAGTGATAGAGGATGTATACTAATAGTCGGTGGTCATCTGAACGATGCGCGTGCGTACGAAAGGTGCGGGGGTCACCTGGGGTGAAGTCTCTAGAAGTTTAACAGGTGAGGGAAATTTTAGTGCGCATGCGTCAGTGATAGGGGATGTATACTAATAGCCGGTGGTCATCTGAACGATGCGCGTGCGTACGAAAGGTGCGGGGGTCACCTGGGGTGAAGTCTCTAGAAGTTTAACAGGTGAGGGAAATTTTAGTGCGCATGCGTCAGTGATAGGGGATGTATACTAATAGCCGGTGGTCATCTGAACGAATATGTATTATCCTCCTAGCTTGCAGGCTTTAGTTGAATTATGGAAAGAGAAAGTCGTCGCAGATTTTGGTGGAATTATACGAATAATAGGCGCCATATTGTCGCGACGAATAATAGGCGCCATATTGTCGCGACGGCTGATATATAGTTAGATGTGTATTATTCCTTAGGTAGTAGGTTTTCGTTGAATTATGGAAAGGGAAGTCGTCGCAAATTTTGGCTTATACGAATAAAAGGCACCATATGTCGCGACGACAGTTATATAGTTAGTTGTGATTTTCTTGTTATACTTTTTGTGCCTTTCGTCAGCTCAGTATACTCTTAGTCTTATAAATATAAATACGACTTTTATTTACGTGTAATATTTATTATTTTGTTCGTGATTATTGCATCTCTCGCCTGGAAGACGTAAGTATTTTTTTTTTCACATTATTCAAGACTTACGTATAAATCGATTTTTAGATGTCTAAAGATTCATCGTCTAGTTTGTCGTGGTTTAACGGGGATAGCTACAATAGGGATCTTGTAGCGACTCCTCCAGAAGATACACCGCCTTTTTTTTATATGTCACCAGAGAGGATATTTGTATTAGTAAGTATATATTTTTTAATATAATTATATTTAAATTAAATTATTTATAAAATGTGTATAATCTGGTTTTAGCGGGTTAATAGACCGCCATCAAGGCCCGTCACCCCAAGGCCCATTGCTCCAGCGTTAGATGAAAGTCTACAAGATGCGCAAAGACCGTGGAGTCTACAAGGTGCGCAAACACCATGGTGGTTTAGCCCGCAACTATTACCCGTTAGCCCTCCCCCGCAGCGTCGCCCCATCGGATATTCAGATATGGTAAGTGTTAAATAAAAATTATGTCTTAGACTCAATATAATATAATATAATATAATATAATATAAAATAAACAATAATTTTTAATTTAGACTCAAGATAGCGGTTTCTTTACCGAACGACAATTGCATAGTTCATTATCACAAGTTAGACAACCTTCTACACCTACAACACCGGGGGTATACGCATTGAACCTGATACAGAACATGGAGTTTTCACCATCACCGCTGCGACAATCTCAAATGGACGAATGGCTTCGTTCGTTTTCATCAATACAGTCTTCACCAGATATATTGCCGCTGGATGTTGTAGGCGGCGTGGTGTTTTCATCGCGGCAATCTGAGATAAATGAATGGTTCCAATCTTTATCGCCCATCTCCCCTAGTGTGCTAAACATTATAGTACGGTCCCAGGTACTCCCGGAATTTGACGTACTAATTTTCGGGAGGATATCAAATACCACTCAACCCAGCCAAAATGCTACTGATTGGGCTGAGGATGGGTATAATGATATCCTGGAACTACACATGATGGCACATGAAGCAGTATGGAGCGGTGACGAAGTGAATCAGCAAATGGATACTAACGAAGGTAAATTACAGAAAAACTTATTTTTTAAATATAATTTATCTTTTGTTTTATATAATATTATTATTTTCAATAAACCTAATATTATTATTTTATATTTTGTTTTTTAGACGAAGAATTGAATCGACATATGGACGAATACGAGGGGAAAAACTAATTTTGCTTTATATAATAATATGTTTAGATTGTATATTTCTTGTAAAAAATATTGTGTATAATATGTTTAGACTGTATATTTCTTGTAAAAAATATTGTGTATAATTATGTTTAGATTGTTTATTTCTTGTAAAAAATATTGTGTATAATTATGTTTAGATTGTTTATTTCTTGTAAAAAATATTGTGTATAATGAATGAATGTATATTTCTTGTAAAAAAAATATAATTTTTATTTTATATAATGAATGTATATTTCTTGTAAAAAATATTGTGTATAATGAATGAATGTATATTTCTTGTAAAAAAAATATAATTTTTATTTTATATAATGAATGTATATTTCTTGTAAAAGGTGATATTATTATGGTTAAACCCATGCTCACACACGTGTGTTATTTTACAGTGCGCATGCGTACGATAGGTGCGGGTGTAGTCTCTAGAAGTTTAACAGGTGAGGGAAATTTTAGTGCGCATGCGTCAGTGATAGGGGATGTATACTAATAGCCGGTGGTCATCTGAACGATGCGCATGCGTACGAAAGGTGCGGCGGCCGATGATGGCAGGGAAAAGGGTGGCGGGGAAAATATACATGTCGCACACGTGAGCAATGTGCCGCCGGTGGTCAAAAATATAAGTCACGCACGTACGCGAAGTGCGGCGGCCAATGGTCATAAGGATCAGAAGGGTCAGAGGGTCAGAAGGGTCAGAGGGTCAGAGGGTCAGAAGGCCAGAAGGTCAGAAGGGTCAGCGGTCTGAACATACCAAATCATACTACTCATGTTGGTATTACAACCAGCTTATTGCATGTAACAGTAAGCCCAATATTGATTTATTTGTCCATTATATTGAAAAAAAATAATCCAAGAACTTTTGTACCTAAGTCTTCATCGTTATTTAAAATGAATATATGTAGTTTTGTTTTAATTTCCTCTACATCCAACTCTGTTGATAAATCATAAAGGAATTTACGAACAGCTAATCGTTTTTCTTTATTATTTATTTTAGATAAGTTTTTTCGCCATGCTTCATGCACATGCCATGTACAAAAAAAGGTTTTGATTTACAGGACCCATAATTTTTACCCAGCCATTAAAATAAGACATCTGCATATCCGACATTATGGTTTTTGGTAACACATCGCCAACTCGAACTTTTATTTGTTCAAGTAGAACACTAAAAACTACTTCATAATTTCTATTAGATAATAAGAATGCTACTGGATAGCCTTCACAATCAACATCTGTTACCAGCATTGTATGTAAAATGAAGTCGTTAGGGTTTGTACCATGTGTGCCATCAAAACAAATTGTTTTGTGTCCATAACGCTTCAAAGTATGCTCTTGATTATGGCCTAATACCCTAATGCAAAATCATTGATCTTTAGTGTGGGATACTTCTCATCGAAGACTCCTTTAGCTTTGTAAAACAGGATTGAATTTTTATTTTTTATAGTAAAACTGGCTATATTTTTTGAATCTTCTTTGTATTGTGCTGGAAAAGGTTCATTAAAAGATTATATTGTTTAGAAATATTTGGTATATCTTGGTAATTCAACAAATCAATACGACTGCATATATCTTCACCATTTCGCTGTGTTGATTCATATTGTCCTAACAAAACATTTAATGGTACACCTAGCGACAACTTATTGTCAATGGCTAATTTCTCGTTGGCATTTAAACTTTTGTGAGGTAGCTCTCTTTCATCACCTTCATGTCCCAGGTGTGTTTTTTGATACATGACTGAACATAAACCACTAGAATTGAATTCCCTTATTGTTAGAAGTGTGGGACAAATACCATTCAATTTTTTTGAGCTGTTTACGGACATTTACAGCTTTCAATTTTTTTTAGTTTTTTTTCAATAAAGTTTTATCTGTTGGGCTAAAAAGTGTAAAAATTTAATACAAGGCTCCTGATATATTTTTACAATAGCAATTGAAAAATTTTAAAAATACATAAGCACAATTTTTTTTATAAGCATTTAAAAATCGAATTCCATCACGGAACTATAGTAAGTATGTAAATACATTTTTATCGAAATATTTTAATAAACCAAATAATTATAATTCTAATAAAACAACTTTGTCGAAAACAGTTTGTAATCCTTGGATTACAAAAGGAATTATTGCTTCTATAAAAATACGTAATAAATTAATTAGAAAAAAAACAATCTCTAGGAGTGTTTTACAAATCAAAAATTAGGCACTATATCAAAATTTTACGTGAAAGTTACTTTATAAAACAAATTAAAATTATTCACAAAAAAAATCCTAAAATACAATGGGAGTTGCTCTGCAATTATTTAAAAATTAATAAAAAGAAAACTTTTATCGACATTGATTGTAATATATTAAATAATCATTATGTAAATATAGGTCCTAAACTTGCTTCTAAAATACCTTCTATGGATTATGGAAGCCAAATTAAAAACTAAATGCAATTATTCTGTTAATTCTATTTTTTTCTAATCAATTACTCCAGATGAAATAATACTCAAAATTAATTCTCTCAAAAATAATATAGCTCCAGGCTCCGATAAAATTAGTGTAGAATTATTAAAATCCAAAAAAAAATCTATATCTGTTCCTTTATCGTGTATGTTTAATTTATTTGTTGAAAATAATTATTTTCCGAGTTAATTTAAACACGCAGATATTGTTTCTATATATAAAAATGTTGGAAGTAAGTTTGATCCGAATAATTATCGACCAATATCCTTAATATCTAATATTGCAAAAATTTTTGAAAAATGCATCTATACTAGAATAACTAATTTCTTAAATAAAAATAATTTACTGTCTAGTTCACAATTTGGTTTTCGGGAAAGAAGAAGCACTGAAGACGCAATAACTAAATTAATTTCACATATTAAAACAGATAAAAAATATAAGATTGTTGTTTTCTTAGACCTAAAAAAAGCTTTTGATACTGTTGGTCATAATTTATTGTTATTAAAATTGGAAAATATAGGCATAAGAGGAGTTGCATACAAATTACATAAATCTTATCTGGAAAAACGAACATGTTGCACAAAATTAGGTAAAACAAAATCTGTTAAAAAATTAATTACTTGTGGAGTTCCGCAGGGAACTTGTCTTGGACCTTTATTATTTATATTAACAGTTTAACAAATATTAAATTAAACGGAAACTTAGTTCTTTTCGCGGACGATACTGCCTTAGTGGTAGATGCAGATAACCCGAATGATCTATATCTAAAAGCAAATAACGATCTTCTTAAAATTAAAAACTGGTCAATGGAAAATAAATTATCTCTTAATATCTCCAAAACGCAATTTATAGATTTTTCGGAAAAAATAGACAAAAACAACAATTTAACAATTCATAATTACCATTGTAAAAATACTTTTAATATTCCAAATATTTGTAATTGTCAGAATCTCGAAATGGTTGAGGAATATAAATATTTAGGTGTTATAATTGATCGTGAACTTACTTGGAAAATTCAATTAGAAAAAATAATTTCCAAAATTAATAAATCATTACCAGTTTTTAATGTTGCAATAGAATCAAGTTTTAAAAAATCTGTATACTCTGCCTTAGTCCAATCTCATTTACAATATTCTATAACTATTTGGGGAGATTCCTATAATTTAAAACAACTCCACAATTTACAAAACTCTATTACTTCCTAGTTTAACATAAAAAATGTTCCGTCCATGCAAGAGCTTTTAGATCACCGATTAAAAAAAGAATTTTATGATTTTGATTATTTAATATTACAATATTTTGGAATTTTTTCAGGTTACTAGAATATTTGTTCATGTTATAGTACAATTCTATATAAATTAAGTTAAATAAATTAGAATACATTGCTTTTCATTCATAATAGCGATTTGATGCTAAACATAGAAAATGGATAGCAATTTAGTTTATGTCATAATCTACTTAATAAATCCTGACTTTAATTTTTTACATAGCTTACATTTTGCAGACAATCTTTTCCTATTTTGACTAGTTTTTATTATAAGTGGATTAACATTATCTGTTTTTTGTTTACACTTAAAGCAATATAGTTTGTTCATTTATAAGTAAAAAAATTGATTGAATAAAATTAAATTGATAAATTAAAAAAAATGTACAAAAAAAATATAAAAATATAAAAATTACAAAAAAATAAAATATTACTTGTGGCACTATCAAAGAGATAACCATAGTTGAAACTTGTTGCTGTTATGATAACAATAATGTGAGGTTATAATAGTGATAACGTAATTTCTTGTTCATAAACGGTACCATTGATATCATAAATTTTATAATAATTTACATTTGATTTAAAAACTTCTTCAATTATAAATATTTCTTTAGACCAATTTGTTTTTAATTTATTTCGATACACATCATTTATTGAAGATAATCTAACTCTATCATTTATTTCAAATTTAGGTACAGAATTACTAATATCATAGTTATAAACAGTAGAAAGTAAGTCTTTCTCGTTTTTCTTACTTACATCAGCAGGTTTCATTTTTATTGTTCTATGGTATGTATTATTATATGTCTTAATGATCCTTGGCAATTCAGTAATCCATACATTATTTAAATAAAGTAATTTTTCAACTTATCACCTAATGTTCTGTTAAAACGTTCAACCATAGATGCCTTTTTATCGGTGCCTGTACTATACATTGTAATGTTATATTTGTTTCGTAATTGTTTTAAATCTTTATTATAAAATTCTTTACCTTTATCTACATGTAATTTTTTCGGTACACTATGTTTAAATATTTGTGAAAATGCTTCAGATACTTCCAATCCACTTTTTGTTTTCAAAGCTACAGAATAAACTTTTTTAGAAAATGTATCAATAACATTAAGAATATATTTAAAACCATTATTAGCTTTATACAATGCCTTATGATTATCTTTAACTTTAACTTCATTATGCTTATTTCTTAAATTATAATTGGGATCACTATCTTTAGATTTCGGTCTATAAAAACAGTATAAATCAGCTTGCCAAGTATCATTTATACCTCTTTGTACAAAATGTCTTGTTTCAAAATGTTTTCTAGCTGGTTTAAATAATTCATAAGCTTCTATAAGTTCTGGTGGTTTTGATATATTATTCTTATTTGTATTACATATTTTACATACTGATAACCTCCTATATTTAGTATTTTTTTTAATAAATTCAGGAATACCTATACTCCTAGTTTTAGATTTACAATTCTTGCAATAGTCCATTTATTTAAGATGTATATATTTTATATATTTTCTCTAATTGTATTATTAGTAAGATCATAGAAAAATTCGGTACCAGAAACTAAACAAATATAACAAATGGTATTAGCGGGCACATCTTTATTAAAATCTGCATGTAAGACAATACTTGTTTTAGATCCAGAAATTTGTGATAGTTGTCTACTCATATCAATTACAAAGTATGGTCTGGTATCCTTAAACTGTTTTGGAGTTATATACATTAAAGATAAGTCTCTGTGTACTCTATTATAAACATTCTTATAATCCATTAACATATCATAAGCAGTATCAACATTTTCTTTTTGAAAATCTAAGTTTAATAATTCTTCTGGATATCTCATACTATCAACACCCAACCAAATATTTTTCAAATTACAATTACTAAACTCTATTGGGTCCCTCAATTGATTAAGTAATCTATCTGTTTGAAAAGCTACGATAACAAATAAAGGATTATGGATATTTGTATACATATTTGTTATATCTTTTTGTAGTGTTTTACCAGTAATATTACTTTCTTCAATACACTGCCATGATTTGAAACTAAAAATATACTCGTCTCTGTCTGACAATGAAACTAATTCATTTACCAATTTAACTCTATTCATATCACTATAAGTCACAATTGGTATCCTAATAAGTAATTCTTCAATAACAATTTTTCCAGCTCCAGGCACCACATCTGTTTTATCATTCTTATCTCTAAATAAAGCATCATCGTCACTACGTCTTAAAAAACTTATTTCAAAACCTCCTCTATATACTGGATATACAATATCTTTAAAAAATCCTAAACACAAATTAGACAATTTACCAGTAACACTAAAAAAACCACCACCACTAAATCTTGATTGAAATCCATTATTTATTGTTGGTCCACTCTCGTTTGCAGAATAACTAACCGTACCTTTAATCAAACCACATCTACCAACATTATCAATTCTATCTAATTCTTTACCATTTTTTTTAACAGAAATTGACTCAAACAAAAATCCAGGAAAATTGTCAACTAACATTACATTTGAACCTTTAGGATAGCTAGTACCATCGGCCTGTAAAACTTGACCAGAAATTCGAAATTTTGCCTTACTAACTCTTAAAAAACTATTTTCTTCATTTATGTTAAAATTAGTAATCTGATTAGGTGCATTCAGATTTGATGTTGATATAGGGTAAAATACTTTATCCTGTTCACGGATAATAGTACGGTCATATTTTGCAAATATATTCTCCATTTATAAGGAAAAAAAATGTAATAAAATATTAGTAAAATAGTCTTGAGGAATTTTTTCTTTACTCATAAATGAAATTTAATTTACAGTTTTCTCAGTTTTAAACTTAATTCATAATTTAAATCATAATTCTTAATAAAATCTAAACACAAATGACCGCATATGGGTGGGTCTGTATAGGTTTGTAGTTGATCAGTAGTGTAATATAAATCATCTTTTCCTAAATAATTTACAATTGCTTTAACTGGAGGTGAACGACCATAAGAGTCAAAATATATTTTTTTATTACCATTTTTTAACCATGCAACCCAATGTGAACCAGGTTGATTAGAATTATTTAAATTTAATATTCCACATTCATTTTTCCAAGGCTCTGCCGGTAACTTATCTTTCATAAAACAACCTCTAAAATTCTTAATATTTTTTCCTGCTTTAATAATATCAAAATTAGTTAATGGTTTTCTTTCTTTTTTTGCTTTTTTTAACACCTGAACCAATCTGTAAAGTTTTAATATTTCTAACATTTTCTTCCATCATTCTATCATGTCTGTCTGTCTCATCTCGTTTTAATTTCTTATCTTTTGCATCAATAACAGTATTTGCAATAGCACTAGCGCCTCCGGCCAATGCACTAAGGGCACCTATACCTGCTATAATAAGAGGTAAAAAACCACCTACTTTATCTTTATTTCCAAATTGAGATTTTGTAAATTTTAATCTCACACCTTTTTTGTCTTTCTTAGCTTTAGTTAACTTATTATTTTGTCTATCAGTTAAATTAAATTTGTTTTTTCCATTACCAATCTGTATATGCTTTGATTGAATAACTACATCAATTTTGTTTCTATAAGCTTTTACAAGCTTTTTTATTTGAGAATCACTCAAATCTAAATTCATTTAATAGAAATAAAATTCAATAAATCAATTTAAATTCATACCAAAATACCTTTTTGCTCTCATTGCATTTGCGGTGACAAGGGCAGCTGTTTTTTCACCTATAGATGCATCTGAGGCTAAAAACCTCTTCATTAATTATCTTCCAAAATTTTATCTCCAATATGTCTTGTTTCAATATCTTTATGTTCTTTATAAAAATAATCATGTTCCATTGCTGCCTTATCTAGTTCATTTACTGGTTTTTTATTTTTTTCTAAATCAGTAAAGGGGCCAAGATAATTATAACCAGGCCAATGCATTTCTGGCATAAATTTACTATTTAAAAGATCGTTCATAAGACCTGATCCCTCAACAACTTTTTCAGGCAAACTTGATATATGATATTAAATACTCAATTCCTTGCGGAGTCCTAACTAATCTTGCCAACTTAGAACTAAAATAATTTATAATATCAATCTTTTCATTATAAAAATTATCATGGCCTGCTTTTCCTCACTAGCAATAAAATATAATCTTTTAAATAATTCATTTAAATTATGCATATATTTATAATCATTATGTTCTCCTTCTGTATATTTTATTAAACCTTCTCCTTCTTTTTCATTAATTTTTTTTGGTGATGTCGGTGTCGCTGGTCTTATTTTTTGCCAAATTGGTTTAATCATCTCATTATATCTCATTATATCTCATCATCTCATTTAGGTTAATGTAATTATTATGCATTATATGCATCGTTAATTTCATTGATCTTATGTTTAAAGTTGCTTTTTTTGTAATGCCTGGTATTATATTGTATTATATTTTGTATGCAATACTATACTAAGTATCATATTATTATAGTGCAGACTATAAACTGTGAAGTAAGATGACTGTTGTCTGTGAGACCTGACACGTGAAGTTACCTCTTTATATATCTCATTTTTCAAATATGCAAATATTTCTTTCATACCTTCATAAATTGGCTGATCTATATTTTTTGTAAAAATATAAAGATTATCAAAAGGAACCCAATAATTAACAATAATATTAAATAATAAATTAGTTTTTCCTGATCCAGAAGAACCTATAATCAAACAACGCATAGGCCTTGGAAAAAGTGAATTTGGTATATCATTATCTTTAACTAAATTAAATACTTTAATTTCATAATTATTATTCATTTAATATAAATAAATAATACAAGTCTAAAAAATGAAATTTCTATTAAACTTTTTTCTTATTAAATATAATATATATATAAATAAAAATGTCTGAATTTAAAATGTCCAATTCAATTGACTCAATAGATTTAAAAATAAGATTAAATAAGCATGGACACAAATATAAATATATTAAATTATCAGAATTGGCAATTGATAAAAAATATGAAGTTACTGCTTTTGAAATCATTAACATTAATGGGCAGAATAAAGTATCTGTTGTGTTGGATAATGAATATGAACTCTTTTTACCAGATAGATTTATGAAAACTATTTCTGAAAATATATATGAATTAAATGACAAGGAGTGGTCTACAATCTATATTTTTCATAGATATATAAAAACACTTGAAAATGGAAAATTATACTATCGTATAGAGTTCCAAGGTAATTCTCTAGACAGTACTGTAATTAAAGTATTAAAGAAGTTAAATGAAGAAGATTACAAATACAAACATATACAATTATCTGATTTAAATATTAATGAACCTTATAAAATATCAACATTTAAAATAATAACTACAAATATGGTGAAAGAGTTTCTGTTCTATTAGACAATAGATATATGCTATTATTGCCCTATAGTTTTGTTAATGGTATTTCTGAGGAAGATATAGACAAATATGATGGTGAAATGTATATGATGTACAAAGGTAAAAAAAATTTAAATAATGGGAAATCAATCTATTTAATAGAATTTCAGTAAAAAGCAATTAATTAATAACATTTTTCATTATTAAATGAAGTTAATCAAAATCATAAATGGGTGTATACGTTTTGAACATTATATACATAATGAAAACCAAAGTATGTCTATTAGATTATATGCTTTGTCAGTTGCCAATTCTAATGATTTAATTAAAATAGAGAAAGATTGTGAGATAACAATTGGCGTTGATATAATTGATATTATAAGTGGGCTTTATACTGTTGAAAAGTTAAATAAATTAATAAAACCATTAGTTATCTATATTATTTAAAAAAAAAATTAAAATAGAATCTCCATTGTACTATAAACTAGATGAAAATTTAAAAAAATACCTAGGTTATAATGATATATATTATTTTTCAATGACAAGTGAGAAAAGAATAATTTATTATCCTACTAGTGATGAATATTACATAAATATTGAATATGAATATGAATTTAAAGTCGAAAAAGAGTCTCATAAGTCATAAGATACCTATTGGTGTATATTCTATTAATGAAATTCAAAATTTATTAAATCTAGACAAGAACGTTGTTAATACTAAAATTACAATAAATAATAATAAATATTTAATGATTTCAACTAATTATGAGTATGTTTTTGACTCTCACTTAACTGATTGTTTAGGAATTCCAGTATTTAATAATTCTTCAAATTAGATAGAAATTTAATAGAAAAGAGAAATTACACTATTGATCAATTAAATAAAATACTACCATCAAGTGTAAAAATAGAACAAACAAATAACTATATCACAATTAAATTTAGTGATTATTATTTATTGGATGAAAATTTAATATCAAGCCTAGGACTTGATAAAAAGTATACCCACAATTCACAAACATGTTGGTTCAGATATTATAACCAGTAATTATTTTGAAGATAAGTTTACTGAAGTACATTGTAATATAATTGAAAAATCCATTTCTAACCATAAAACTAAGGAATATTTGCACTCAAACGGTGATATTTTATGTGTTATTAAATGTGATAAAAGTGGCCAATATATAGCTAATGACATTAAATTTATTCCTCTAAATATGAATATAACAGATTTTAATCGTATTGAAGTATTTCTCGCAGATCAAGATGGCACTAAAATAATATGTAACGATTTTATTACATATTTACTTTTAAAAACATAGATTCAAAAATCTCATAAATTCTATATCTAACGCGTCCCCCAAAAAGGGACACGTTTGTAAATATTTATATTTACATATTTATATATTTAAACTTAGATAATTTTTTAATTAATTTTATCAAATAATAATATATTCTTAGAATTATGGGTTCCTTTGTTTAATAAAAAAGAAATATTAATTACTGAAAATTTGTTAGAATTTATGGGGTTTGGTGATAATAATAACACGTGCGGAAAAAACGCACGTGTTAGAATTAGAAATTATTATAAACATTTAGTCTTATTAATAGTTTTTAAGTGGTTAATAAAATCTGCTCTACCTATTCCGATATTCTTATGACCCCATGCCAATGTATCTGTTTTTCCATCAATTAAATGTCTTTTGTCATCAAACCAGTTTAATCCTATTTTAGTCTGCTTTATAGTACTAATTTCATGTTTTTCACTACGTATCATTATCTGTTCTACATTTTTACATATATTATTTTCTAAACATAATTTATAATCATCATGAGTTATATTATTCTTAACTATATTTTTCTTTACTCCTTTAGCTTTCCTAATACCTTTATTTGAAGCAAATAATTTAATTGAATAAGACTTTGAAGCAAGTCCAATAAAACTTTCAATAATCTTTCCATTCATTTCATCTTTAAACTTTCCCATTACTTTATTATTAATTTGAGGTATACCATAAATAATATGTTTATCATAATCAGATGTATCATATTCATCAATATTTGCTTTCATATCCTCATATAAATCTAATGTTTTAATTTCACATACTAATGAATCAGTATCACCATATAATAATTTAATGTTATTTCCATATCTTTCTTTCAGTTTATAAAAATAATCATACATTAAAATCTTTGAAATCTCCAAAATACATACACCTATAAAGATAGGTTGGTTAAAATTAATCTCTGTTCTATTCATTTCAACAGCAGACAAATTTTTACCGAAAAATGTAGATTTTTTAAAATTAGGTTTAGAAACATATTTTGTATATTTATCACCTTCAGATATTAATCTTATATCCACATGTTTTCTTACATTCATCATTGTTCTTTCTAAAACAGAATTATTCATTAATTTATAAAACTCTTTCTCAAAATTATTTTTTGCTTTCTTTCTTAAATTTGTATTTTTTTCAATGTATACTCGCATCCAATCAGACTGATAAAAACTAACAACTTTATGAATTTTTCCTAATTTTAAACCCGCCTTCAAAGCTTGCTGTAAATTTAAATAATGAATAACATAATTCTTTTTATCATATAGTGTATTTAATAATTTTGGTAACTTTTTACCATCAAATATGTTTTCTGGACAATATGGTAGATCATTATGTTTCTTATGAAGTTCTTCTGGATAAATTAAATCTACTTCAAAAAGGTAGCCTGTTTCCTGTTCTTCCTTCATTTCTAAAATCCTATCCTCATCAAAAAAATCTGGATTTGCCCATTTAAAACCACGATAAGGCAAATATTTTGACATAGCATACCCATATAAGTTATTTGCGTCTAAATACTGTATATATACTGAATCTGTATTTTTATCAAATTTTTTAACCATATATTTATTATTTGCTTCACTATATCTATTTGAACACTGGGATAAACCACCCCGTTTAGCCCTTTCAAACATTAAAAGAATATCTACATCAGTAATTAATTCAATTTTTTGTTTTGTAGTTTTTAACATACAACTCCAAGCAAATCCGGGTGTATTATAATACCAAGCTGGATCTAATCCATATGTACTTAACGAAGTCTTTCTAAAATATTCCATAACATCAGCTAATAAAAGTACATCTATAGTAATGTATAACAAATTAAATTCTTGCATATGTTTTATGTTGAAATACTTCCAAATTTCTTCAGCATAATGATATTCTCCATCGGTAATATTTTCACCGTTTAATGAATTATAAAAAGACTCTTTGGGAGGTAATTTTGTCTCTTTATATTTATCTAATGAAGACATATAATCGTATGGAAAAGCTAATTTTTTTGTTAATAATCTAAATAAATACTTTCTTTCCAATTTACTTAAATTATCAGGAACAGTTTTTTCAAACCATTTTTTTAAAACATTAAAATTACATAAATTCATATTATTAACTAACTTAGACAAAGAACTAGGTTGGAACCTATAAGAATCTAGGAACCTAAGTTCAATATCAGAATATTGAGAATAGGTACCTTATTCTCTTAGAAAATGAAATATATTTTTCCTCGCTTGTGGGAATGAGATCTATATCACCGGTATCCAATCCTAATTCTTTAACTAATAAATGTGAATCATAACCTGAAAAATTATGAAAGAAAACAGGAATAAATCTTGGAACTTGAAAAGTTAAATTACAATATTTATGGGCAGGTCCCCTATATAGACCTGTTAAATGATCATGATCTCGATTCTCGAACTTTATAAAGATTCTCTTTTTTACAATCAACTATATTAATATTTTTCCATTTCAAGTAACTTAAAATATGGGTAGGTATGCTAGTTAATTTTTCTTCACAAATATGACAAATTGTTGCATTTTCATACTCTTTTTTCTGTATCTCGGTTAACTCAATCATTTTCTTAACATTATCTAAATAATTTTCAGCTATATATATAGCATCTTCTCTTAATTTTTTATATATTACTTTTGGGGCATCTGAACCAAAATATTCAAAAATTTCTCTTTCAAAATCGCCATTGGCATATACAATAATATAAACAAAACTTATTGCAATATGTTTCTGAATTTTAACTGTACTACAATTTTTCTTTCTCTCATTTATCTGTTTTATAACACTTTGAAAATCTGCATAAATAACAAAAGGTACTTTCATTTTATGATTAAAATTTTTAAATTCAATAATATTATTAAATTCATTCGGCATGTTCAACCGTGATGTCTTATTTAATGCACAGTAACTTCTATGATTTAACAAATTTTCTTCAGTTTGAAAACTATTTAAACACATTCTGCAAAGATATCTCTTTTTACAATTTTTTGTAATTTGCCCCTTAACTAACCCCCATAAATTTTTTATTAAACAATAATGTGTATTATCCCCGTCTTTCAAAAGTAATAAATCAATATGTACTTTTTTCTCATCTTTCGTTACATATAAGGGGTTTATATTATATTTCTCAACATGATGATAAACATTAATAGATAATACACCTTCAATCAAATTCGTTTCATTAACACTGTTTAAAAAACTAGGAATCTTACTAACTTCCATCGGATACTCAATATCTACAAACATATAATCAAACAAATTTTCATATTTTTTATATTTTGTTACTCTTTGCGGATCTTTCTCAACTGGATATAAATAAGCCAAAATTGACCATAAAAAACATTTATCATCATCTTCATTTTTTACATTTATAACTGCTTTTCTGTTAGCTATTTTCACTGGAGTTGGTATATAAGAGCTACCCTTTATGGGAGCATATTTATTTATGGCTACATTGAGAGTGTTAACCGAAACTAACACCCATTGCGATCCTCTTAAACTATCTGAAACACGTTCATGTTCATATAATATTTTAGCTTTCATTTCTTTATATATTTCATCTAAATTTGATTCTGGAAAAATATCATAATTCGGTGTTTGCAAATATTTAACTGCTGATTCTACAACATCTATAATACCACCTTTTTCATAAGTACAAATAACACATAAATGAG